TGCGAAGCTCGTTCGTTTCGTCGTCTTCTTCGTTCGACGCTGGATTTTAAGGTTCGTGATCTGTTCGTGGTTTAGGATTCGCTTACGTTTGATGAAGTTTTTGTTTCCGCTTTGCTTTTGCCGGATCTCTTCGAGGAATTGTTTTACGTTCTTTGGTTTGATGATTGAGAGATTTTGATTTCGATCTGTTCTTTGCGTGATTTCGTTCGAAACCGAGTCGAAATCTCTCGTTTGTTTTCTTGTTCTTTGAGATTACATGAATATCCGACGGTTCCTCTGTTCAATTTCCGTTCTAAGTTGCTATTATCCGTGACGTTTCTCTGTTGTTTGTGTTCGTCTGCGTTCTGATTGATCGGGTTATAGTCTCCACGGTAACGTTTTGATTGATTACGTTTTTGTTTGCTATTTAGACGATTTCTGGAAAAAAAGTATACGATCTGAATCAAATTGATAAGTTAAGATACTGAATAACCTGTTACACGTTTGATCATGCCATTGTTGTGCGTTGTTTTCCCCAATTTCTGGTTGGATTATACATATATTGCTATTTCACTGGAAACAAAAGGATCTGATCGGTTTTTTTTTTTTTGGAAATGCAGGGCATGATAATTGGACTGTTGTTGTAAAATTTGAATCAATTTGGAGCAATGTCGACTTTTAATCTGAATGTCGATGTGAATCATAATGGGGATGTTAAGAATGCTGATTCTTTATGTACACTGGACGATATTGATGACATTGATTTTTCAAAGTTGCTTGAAAAGCCAAGACCATTGAATATTGAGAGACTGAGATCACTTGACGAAAGGTCTCTTACTGAATTATCTGGCTCACCACAACTTAGAAATGGGGATAATGCTTCTCGTGTTCATGATCATGCGGATTATGTGGTTTCACCCAGCGTTGGCAGGAGGTCTGGATTCAATACTCCTAGGTCACAGCATGGATTTGAGTCTCATCCAATGGTGGGTGAAGCCTGGGATGCTTTGAGGCGCTCGATGGTATACTTCCGTGGACAACCTGTTGGGACAATTGCTGCAGTGGATAACTCTGAAGAAAAACTCAACTATGATCAGGTGAAGAGTCTTATTATTTGCTGAAAACTTCTGGCTAACCACATTTTATTGTCACGTTTCTATTGAATCCTGTGTTGATTGATCTGGTATCTTCCTGACTTTGTTCTTTAGGTGTTTGTGAGAGATTTTGTGCCTAGTGCTTTAGCATTCCTGATGAATGGAGAGCCAGAGATAGTCAGAAACTTCCTTTTGAAGACTCTTCGTCTTCAATCGTGGGAGAAAAAGATTGATAGATTCCAGCTTGGTGAGGGAGTTATGCCTGCTAGCTTCAAAGTTTTCCACGATCCTGTTAGAAACCACGAAACGCTCATAGCTGATTTTGGCGAGAGCGCAATTGGAAGAGTAGCGCCTGTTGATTCTGGATTCTGGTGGATTATACTGCTCAGAGCCTACACAAAATCTACGGGAGACTCTTCTCTTGCTGACATGCCTGAATGCCAGAAGGGTATGCGGCTGATACTGAGCCTCTGTCTGTCTGAGGGATTTGATACCTTTCCCACTCTCTTATGCGCTGATGGTTGCTGTATGATTGATCGTAGGATGGTGAGAAAATTTTCTTTGTTAATCATTTCTTGTGATTCTTTTTACAAGTAGACAGTTTGAGCTAGATGTTTCTTCAATTCTCCATTGTTTAATCTTGTGTTTTCTGTGTGTATAGGGAGTTTATGGTTACCCGATAGAGATTCAAGCCCTTTTCTTTATGGCCTTAAGGTGTGCCTTGCTCCTGCTTAAACAAGACGGTGAAGGTAAAGAAATGGTGGAACAGATAGTTAAGCGACTTCATGCATTGAGCTACCACATGAGGAGCTACTTTTGGCTAGACTTGAAGCAGCTTAACGACATTTATCGATATAAGACAGAGGAATACTCCCACACTGCTGTCAACAAGTTCAACGTTATCCCTGATTCTCTTCCAGAATGGGTTTTCGACTTTATGCCACATCACGGAGGGTTTTTCATCGGCAATGTTAGCCCCGCAAGAATGGACTTCCGTTGGTTTGCCATGGGTAATTGTATTGCCATACTATCTTCCTTGGCTACTCCTGAACAGTCAACAGCAATTATGGATCTCATAGAAGCTCGCTGGGAAGAGTTGGTTGGAGAAATGCCACTGAAAGTTTGCTATCCCGCAATCGAAAGCCATGAATGGAGAATAGTAACTGGTTGTGACCCCAAAAACACTAGGTGGAGCTACCACAATGGAGGTTCCTGGCCAGGTAAAATTTCTAGTTTCGAACCTTTCCTTGATCCAGTGTTCTTCTGGTTATACTGTATGCTAACAAACCCATCCTCTGTGGTATCTTAATTTTAGTAGAAGGCTATAATCTAACCCTTACTGATGTAATAATGTTCACTGGTACAGTGCTGCTATGGCTACTTACGGCTGCTTGTATCAAAACCGGTCGACCTCAAATAGCAAGACGGGCAATTGAAGTAGCAGAGGCTAGGCTTCATAAGGACCATTGGCCTGAATACTATGACGGGAAGGTAGGGAGATACGTGGGAAAACAGGCACGTAAATGCCAGACTTGGTCAATCGCGGGTTACTTAGTAGCCAAGATGATGCTGGAAGATCCATCACATGTCGGTATGGTTGCTCTTGAGGAAGACAAACAAATGAAACCCGTCATGAGAAGATCCAACTCCTGGAATTGTTGAAGTTTGATCATCGTCGTCGAGGTAAAGTAAGAAAGAGAAGAGCTTAAGAAACTTCATGATTCCTGGTTTTAATGTTGACAATGACTCTTTCTTCGTTTTTTTTAGAATTGCACATTTTACGTTGTTTTGGTTTGTTAAATATCTTTAGACTACGAAAGGTTTACTCATCGTAAAAAGATTTCATCTGTTTAGCTTCGTTTCTTATTATTATATTTATT